TTATGTTTTTATTGCATAAACCCCTTGTGAAAACACAATTTTAGGGCGTTCCCATACTGATAAGTTCTTTCATTTATGTCCACTTGACAAATGGCTGCTGTTAAAAGGTAAAAACTGCATTTTTTGTTGGTTTGCAGCTAAAAAACGGGTCAGATCCTTATGGTGGTATATATTATATTATATAAAAACACAGAGCAGCTAAACGCACACAAAATGTTAAATGCACACAAAGCAAATCAAAGTTGGACAAAATGATCAGAGTTGGTTTTATTTTATCTCTAATTTAAAACATCAAACTGTAGAGTGGGAAGTTTTTGGAAAAATTAATATATGAATATAAATAAATCTATGGATATAAATAAATATTTGGATATAAATATATGGATATATGTGGATAGTTATAAGGACTGAAAAAAATGGTTAGCTTCTCATCTGAGAAGATTTTAAATCCATCTTACTGTGAAAACTGAGTCCAGATGGAAGGACCGAACTGCTTTGTCCTACACAGTGTGAGTGCCCTGAAAGCACCATCGGGGGGGAGGCAGCCCAGGATAAAACGAGGAGGAAAAACCCTCTGAAGGTCACTGGCTCATCTTAGAACACGTGTGAGGCTTCACTGCTGCCTGATTTCCATGTTCCCAACCGGCAAGCCAACAGGGCCCAATCAGAGCAAAGCTCCCAGGAATTAGCCCGACCCTGAACCCACCGTTGGACTGTTTAAAGACTCACATCTACTCACATCTCCCAGGAATCAGCCTGACCCTGAACCCACTTTTGGTTGGTTAAAAGACTCACATGTCCCAGGAATTAGCCTGACCCTGAACCCAAAGTTGGACGGTTTAAAGACTCACATGGCCCAGAAGTTGTGACTAAATATTCACGTTAGTTTTGGGACATTTTTTAAATCAGCCGGGATGGAAAACAACCTATTTGGCAAATATAAAAAAAAAGGGTGAAACCACCAACTGACCACTTAGTTTTCATTGTTTCATTTACTTTAGAAGAGCAAAACTCTTTGTAAAGTCCATAAAGCGATTTCTGAAGCGTCTGATAAAACATTGTCACGTAAGAAGAAACTTGCATACGTTTTCAATAGTTTTCAGAGAAGCCAAACAGTTTTTAAACCTGTCTGACCTCTTAATGTTCAGATGTTGGAGAGTTCCTGTTCTTGGTCTTGTCATTTCCTGATTTATTCTGAAACAGCAGCTCTTGTTTCGGGCCACTTCCTCTCCTGATTCCTGATTGCTTCCACCTGCTCCTGTTTACCCTCATGTCTTTTTATTGGGTCTCCTTTTGTTTTTGCCAGAGTTTTTTTGCTTTTCAGGTGTTTTTCAAAGTTAAACGAGTCACAGTCTTGTTCTGGTTTTTGTTTTCTCCAAGTGAGAGCTTTATTTTGTCATTTTTAATAGCTTTTTGTCAGTTTCAGAGTCTGTTTTATAGCTTCTCTCTGTTTTTGAGAGCAATTCATTATTTTGCTTAAAGGTTTCTTAGCTTGTAGTTTTTGTGATTAGGAGAGCGATTTTGGTTTGTAGTTAGCATTTCTTAGCTCTGTGTGGCCTCTGTTAAAGGACAGGTTCTCAGTTTTTGTCTTTCATAGTTTATAGATATCCTAACAAATCAGTAAAGATCTTTTTTTTTTTTTTAGCTCTACAGAGTCAAACAGAAGCTGTTAAAACCCAAATCTTTCTGGATGTCAGACTTTTCCTGGAGGACTATAATGTTCCCACAATCAAGGTTCTCCTCAGTCAATGATGAAAGAAGACTTAAAACGGCAAAAAAAAGGAGAGATAATGACCAGAAACTGACCCAAACCTGCACGAATAAACATAGAAATGCCCCAATGTGCACTAAAAGATTAAAAATGGGAAAAAATGTCACAAATTAACCAATTAAAATGAAATAAATCAAGATAATGACCAAATACTGACTCAAAACTGTGAAAATTTAAACAGAATGACCAAAATGGGCAGTAAAATATAAAAAATAGGGACAAAATTATCAAAAAATGACCAAATCGAACACAAAACAACAAAATTAAGTAAAGATAATGACCCGAGACTAACCCAAAACTGTAAGAATCAAAAGGTGCATTAAAGGACAGAAAAGGGACTAAATTGTCACAAAATGACCAAATATAAGATCAAACTGCAATAATAAGTAAAGATAATGACCAGCAACTGATCATTTAAACAAAATGACTGAAATGCGCAGTAAAAGATAAAAAAGGGAAAAACTATCGCCAAAA